TCCAGAAATACTCTGAAAAAGATAGCTTGTCAAATTTTTCTGTTATTGCACACACTCAGAGATTGCAGTGCAGACTTACACATCTCACTTGGTGAAAATCGGCTACACTGACAAACAATTCCAGACAAATGAATTAAGCTACTTCGAAAAATCAAGTGACAATATTAACACCACCAAGTGAGATGAGTTGTGCCAGATTCCCTCTGCAAAACATGCCTTCATTCGATATTTATATTAAAGCTTCCCTGTTTCAGAAAGAACCCATCTCATCTTGAGTAACTAATATTCAAAGCCTGTGAACTCGTGATCTCTTAGAAGTGTCAATTTCATTCTATACTGAACTCTTCATGAACTGAGGGCTGGGCTTGAATTGAGAAAGATAAGACAATCTAACTGGCCCTCAACAAATTCCACTGCGATGTAGACACATTCAAATCTTCAGTGCCTGGTGTGGATTAGACCTCTAAAAATTGCCCTAAACAATCTGCTAATATTAATAACATCCTACTTAATTGCTTTACTATTCCTATTAGTGGTAATGGGGTTTATTTACTAGATAAATGTACCAAGAGGGCTTACAAAGTGAAAATTCATTCAAATTGTTTATGTTTTTGAAAAAGTGTTCTTCCATTGCCGTTTGCTAATTTTTCCAGAATAGAGGGCTCCCAGCTGGGGAAAATAGAATGTCAAATTTGTTCCTTAGGACTTAATTTAAGTCTATGTTAATTGTTATAATGACAATATTGAATGCTGGTTGTTTCTATAGGCCTGCACTAGCATAGGTACTCTCTCTCTCTTTTGTCCGCATGAGAGCCCCTAGCCGAGGCCAGGTGGTTTCAGAGGTGGGGAGCCCGTTTAGCCGTTTAAGTGCAGCTCTGGCTCTCGGGCCTCTTGAGAAGGGGAAGACAAAAGGGCTTGTGGCAAGAGCCATCTCTCCACTGCCCACACTCCTGCGGCTGCTTAGTGTTACTTCTTGTCTGGCTATCAACTGGAGGCTGGGATTGTTCAAACTATCGTCTATTGCTTGAAGGTCGCCTGGTAATGTCAAATGTTTAGTAGAGCTAGCTCGCTTCTCTTTTTCTCGCGGCCCTTCAGTGTAGCACAACGACACACAACTCTCAAGAAGATGCAACCCTACTCAAGAAGGCCCTAACCGTGTTCGAATTAGAGTGGGCGTCACTAATACAAAAAAAATAAAATATTAACCAGGTGGGTCACAGTCAGTCTGATGCAAATGCGCGTGCTCACTGTTTTCATCAAGGGTGCTCGCCACTAATTAGTATATCCGCATGCTCAGGTAATGCAAAGGTAACGTCTAGTGCTCTCTCTTCCATCCCAATAACTGGTTGCATTTAATAGCCCAATGCTCATATATGTTATTCTTATAATCCGCCATACGGACCAATTCAAGCTACAGTCCTAAGGTCGCTGGTCGAGGTGGTTATAATTTCCAATAGGCGATGGGAGGCAGACGCTGAAAGAGAAATATTAACTTAACTACGTGCTTGTGGCTTTATCCTTATGGTATAATCAGAAAACACTATCCCTGAGGGTCGATCGGCTGCTAGGCGCAGCACCACGATTCCATGAAAATTAGCTACTAAATACTTAAAATGAATCTCTTTTAGTTCCTGAGCAGTTTACATTGGAAACGGAGGAACCCAGAGCTACCTTTTTAACATAGGCCTGTTATCTTCCACACTCTATCTATCCAGTATATTCAGCTAAGATCATTGCCTCCTCTATATAGACTTCATATTAGTAATTTTATAGTGATCAACTGCAGCCGTACAGCATTCTAGGAGTGTGTGTGGATGGCCGTGCAGAATACACTAGTATAGATGCCATAATGCGTACCATCAGAGTAATATATATAGAACTTAGACGCAGCGGTCACTTATTGCAGTGTTGTCATTAATAAATGCTTAATTAAACTTTAATATGACATAAAGTGAATAGATCCTGGACGCCATACACAGGTACTTTTGTGCAAGAACGCTTAGTGAATCGTAGGTAAATAAACAGCGTCAGGTGATATTGGGCTTAAATACATTCATTTACACTTTTACATTAGCCTCAATAAGACGTATTTAATCCTCGCCCTGAATTCTATATTCTAGCGCTATAAACATGGCTAGAACATTAATATGGTACAGTTCACCCCTTCATGGAACCTAATCATGACTCTAAGGTAAACTGATCTCTATTTGAGAAAAAGACGCATGACAGTATCAGCCTTCGGTCATTATTCTTCTTTCATGGTGCCATTTACAATGTCTATCATTTTAAATTTATTCTATTATATAGGATAGTGTAAAATGCAGGCGCACTGGTTATATGCGATGCCTGCCGGAGTATACCACAGTTGCATAGTAAATTGTCTTGGCACAAAACGGCTCTCAGTCTTTACTATAGCAATGGCTTAAAAAATAATTGGCCAGACAAGGTTTTTCAATACGGTATCATACCTTCCCTCACAAAGTTGTCTTGTATTTACATAAGAATTTTCTTCAACAGTTTAAGTGTTTCGGTATTCTTTTCTTTATCAGAAATACCTAGAAAACTACTACAACTTGAAGAGCGGAATCAAGCAATTCCGAGGGCAGAGAAAAAGTGGCCCAGTAGTTGAAAAGCTGAAGCAAATGCAGGCATTCTTCGGGCTGAAGGTGACTGGGAAGCCAGATGCTGAGACCCTGAAGGTGATGAAGCAGCCCAGGTGTGGGATGCCCGACGTGGGCTTTTATGACAGCACCCATGGGAGCTATCGTTGGCAGAGAACAAACCTGACCTACAGGTAAAGACTGAGCTCCAGGGTGAGAATACTATGTCCCCCCAGGACAGTAAGAAATGAAGTCTAGTATGTCTCTGTTCTCTCTTTTTTCATTTTAAGGATCAAAAACCGCACACCAGATTTGCCTCCAGGGGACGTGGACCGTGCCATTGGGAAAGCCTTTGAACTCTGGAGCAATGCGGCAGACCTAACTTTCACCCAGGTCTTTGAGGGTGAAGCAGACATAATGCTATCCTTTGTGTGGGGAGGTAAGCTCTTCTTCCCTCCCCAAATCATTCTGAACTTCCCTGCTGCTGCTCTGGGACTTGCTCGGTCAGAATTCCTCCTTATATACGAGGGTGTTGATTTTGTGGGCCAAATGGTTGAAAGTCTCAGAGTTGAAGAATTTCTTTTGCTCCCTGTGATTGTTCTCTTGTCTCTCCTGGGTCATGCCGAATAAAGCTGGGATGTATCTTTGTTGAATTCTTCTTCCTGCAGATCATGGTGACAATTCTCCCTTTTATGGACGTGGTAGTAATTACCTGGCTCATGCATTCCCACCGGGACAAGGCTTAGGGGGAGATGTCCATTTTAATGAAGATGAAACATGGACCAACGATCTCAGAAGTGAGCCAGCTAATCCCTTTGCTCTCTCTTTTACTTTTCCCCTTCCATAGCTTATTGTAATATTTTTGGTTTTGTCTAAAAGAATGCTTTCAGTAAAATGAAACAATTTTGGAATCACCCTTAAATACTTTAATGAACATAAACTTTTTTTGATGCTATAAATTGTTTAGAAAGGTAATGGTAACTACTTTGTCTCCTTTAGTACAAACGTAAGAGAATATTATTTCTTCAAGCTGTGTAACTCTACTGACACAAAATATGCTGCTCTAAAATTTTTACTATGATATTAAATGTCATATCATCACATATATGTTTATATACTAAAATTGAAAAATGGTAACCTTTGGCAAAGTGATTTTGGAGAATTTTGCTCACTTTAGCAGTAAGCCTATATAAATTTATGAGTGTAACAAAATAATAAATGCTCATAGGATGCCATTATTCTTCTGAAATATAATACTTTTTCTTACTTAATGACATTTGCTAATCAATGCTGTGATTTTTCCCTGTCATCTGATTTTTTTGTAGGATACTAGTCCAATTTCAGAAATTCAGACTGTGATCAGCATCTCTAGTATTAATGAAGGCCTTTGATCCTTTCATTGAACACACACACACAGACACACACACACGCATGCATACCACACACCACACGCACACCCCAAATTTGAACAAAGTCAACAATAAAGTTTGCACAGTTTGGAGATTTATATTTCCTTTTTGACTTCCTTGAAAATATAACATTCTAAAAATTGCAACTGTGTTTTATTGGCCTTTTTAGATTACAACTTGTATCATGTTGCAGCACATGAATTGGGTCATTCCCTTGGACTAAATCATGATAACCACATTGGTTCTTTGATGCACTCATCTTACTTCTACTATGGTGATGTCATGCTGTCTCAGAGGAACATCAATGCCATCCAGGCCATCTATGGTGAGCACAAAGAAAAGTACTTTGGACAGGCCATTATTGGTCTATATATATATATGTTTCAAATAAACAACTATTAACTGTGATCTTTAAGAAAGAGCCTTCATTCAAATGTAGTTTTGTGTTAATACAGTATGCCAACCTAACTTAACTTCAGAAGTATAGACTTAATAATACAAATGAAGGTGTTTTATAAAAATATTCACTTCATTCTTTGCATTTTTCTCATGCAGCATATTAACACAAAAATAGTTAAAACACTCAAACATTTTATCGCATTGGGAGACTTGCTACCTCTTTCGCAAAGCTCCCAGCCAATAATTCATTTTCTGGACACAACCTAGAGAAAAAAGTAAAGTGATCTATTTTTGTGGTTCTCATTAACTCATATTTGTTCTCTAACCTCCTACGTGTTGGTGGCATATGGTTATGGTTGCATGGGAGCCCTATAATACCTTTTACCTTCATGGAGTTTGAATGAAGACCAAATGGTCTTTACTGGTGAAAAAAATTTGAATGGATAAATTCTTTTGTGCAATGCTGTATTATTAAAATTACAAGTTAAAAGTAACCATAGTAGAAC